TATATATATATATCCATTCATCTGTTAACAGACAACTAGGTTGATCACAGTTCTTTTCTATAGTGAATAGAATTGCAGTAAACATGGGGTATGGTAGGGTATGGAGTTCTCTGCTGTACACGCGGGAGAGAAGTAGCTGGGTTCTGAGGTAGGGTGGGTGTCAGGAAAGAAGGAATAGTGTACCAGTAAAACAGGGACATCTGTTTCTTAGTGCAAATGGGCTGTATCTGAAGCATGAGATCAAGTGATATGATGATGGCTGAGAATATCTTGGTGTCCATTTTAAAGAGCATTTAATGAGGTTTTCGGTATGAAATGTACTTATATCACATTTTAGATTTGATGTCAGCATTGCTTAGTTTATTTACTTTACTTTTCTGCTTTTTAATATTATTATTATTATTATTATTATTATTTTGTTAAGACACTATCTCCCTATGTAACCAGCCTAAGCTAAGCTGGCCTCAGACTCACTGTGCTGTCTATTCTGGACTCAAACTCACAGTGATCTTCCATATACCCCAGCTTCCTGAGTCCTGAGATTATACACTTGGGCCACCCAGAGATTGCTAAAAGCAGATTTAATTATTACTTTCATTTATGTGTAAATTGTGTGGCAATATGTACTATATATAAGCAGGTGCCCTTGAGGCCAGAGATGCTGATGCCTAAGGATGTGTGAAGAAAATGAACCCCCTGCCATTGCCAAAGCTGACTCTAGTTGAGCGAACAGACTAAGAAACAGCTAATAAGTTAGTGGAGTCTGAGCCAGGGCTCAGAAGAGTGGTGCAGAAAATTACTGCTCTTGGAAGACAAGTGAAATGGGAAGTTGTTATGTAAGCAGGCAGTTGGGATGGGGTAGCCAAAGTGTTGAAGCGGAAGGAGCCTCTGCATGGCAGAAGACAGCAGCCCTGTGCAGGTTTTATGTGGTCTGTGTTCCCAGGAAGAATGTCTCAGGTTAATAAAAAAGTTTGTGAGCTTTATTTGACATGTGCTGAAGCAGTTACTCCTGCCATGAAACTGGCTCCAAAGTATCTCCTAGATTAACACCTGGCTGCCATGTCTGCTAGCTTTTCATGTTGCACAATGGTGTCCTTACACTTGAGAATGGGCTCTGAACAGTTAGAGTCAAGGCTCTTTGTCTGTCTTCTGCTCCTATCTCCTCCTTCAGCTGGGTCATGTCGGTTCTGCTTAATGTTTGGTGGGGAAGCTAGCATGCCCAGTTTCCCAGCTGACACCCCTTAGTGACGAGTACTTCCCCTGCTAGCCTCAAACTCCAATTTCCTTTGACTATAAAGACCCCCTTGCCTGTTTTCAATCAACCATTGTTTAGTGCCAGCCTACTAAATGTTGTATGTACCTTAAACTTAAAGATAGGGTTTAGAAATGAGACTATTAGCTACTGGGCTGTAGCTTTGTAACTCAGAGGTAGAGGGTTTGTCTTGCATGCCTGAGGCATAGGTTTGACCCCCAGTACTTCAAAAGAGGGGAGGAGGGGCCAGAGAGATAGTTCAGTGCAAATGGCCTCTTTCAGACATTACGTGTACCCCCCCCCCCCCCCCACACACACACACGAGAGAGAGAGAGAGAGAGAGAGAGAGAGAGAGAGAGAGAATAAGTAAATAATTAAAGAAAGAAAGACTGAGTAATCCCATTAGAAGCATTGCATTGGTGAGAGATCTGTGCCTTCACCAGCTGCCTTTAATTGTGAGTCAGACATGATCCAGGGTTAGCGTTGGAGAGCAGCACATGGGAGATGATGTGCTCTATAGTCGATTAGAGGCCTGGAAAGTCAATCCAAAAGTTCTCTTGTAGTCCTCTTGTCTGGGTTTCACATACTTCCCCTTCTCTAGAGACTCCAGGAACCTGACTAGCTAAAAAGAGCCTGTCACCTTTCCTCTCACAGACCTTGTGGGGGAGAGACAGGGTGTTTTTACTTTTAACACTGGTTTTGATTTTATTTGGGCCTCACCGGCATGTTATTAATGTAGTCTTCCCAGTCTGTGTCAGCCTGTGAGGGCTGCTGCTGCTTTCACCAGCAAGGCTCTTACAATTCTTCCTGAAGACTGCTACATTTGTTTGCAAGCTGTCCAGCTGTCCAGCTGTGGCTGGGAGTGGGGACAGCCGCTTTGGAATGGAGCATCTGTAGGAAGCCAGGAGATCCCGAGGGATGGAGCCTTTGACCTAGATCCCATTCTTCTTGTACCCTGAGCAACTGGAGCTGGTGGCTAACTGTTTATCAGATTAGATCAACACTGTGGCCAGAGTGGAGCAGTAAGACGGCTCCCCAAAATGGTAATTATCACTGGGGTGACACTGAGATATCAAAGGAGTCTACTTAAGTAGTTTCCAATGAGACAAACATAGTGAGAGGAGGGGGGGCGGGGAGGGGAGATGCTGTGATCAGTTCAACCAGATTCCGAAAGGGTAAACAGACCGCTTGTCCTCTCTGTCTACTGGCTCTGTCTCCTTCCCTGAGGTAGGGATGCTGATTAGTGAATGGCTCCTCTCTGGCTTCAGCTTCCCTAGCTGTTAAGTGTAGTTAGATGACAATCCCTTGGAAGTTTAGACTTTCCCATCAGAGTACTCTGACCAGCAGAAGGAGGCTCTTGGCTAACTCAGGATACTGGGGGGAGGGGGGACATTGCAGAAAGTGTCATAGGTACAATTTTTTTTTTCAAGACAGCCAACTTGATCTGTAGACTAGTCTGGCATCAAACTCACAGATCTGCCTGGCCTGCCTCTGTCTCCTGAGTGCTGGAATCAAAGATGTGCACCACCACTGCCCAGCTGATATGGAAAAGTTTTGTGGAAATCATTTTTTATTTCTTCAGAAGTTTATCAGAGTGTGGCAGTCTCCTCCTTGTCACGGTTTTCAAGTTTACTGTGTCGTGTCACTCCATTCCCCAGGCTGAGTCAGACTAGCCTATCAGGAAGATGTGTGTGTCATCTTGGAGTTTCACTGACTCCTGCCAGCCACCAGGCACTTGAAACACCATTTATGAAACTTTGATTTTTGTTTTGAGATAGGAATCTCAGCTCTGTAGCCCAAACTACCCTGGAGCTCACTTTGTGGTCCAGGATGGCCTCAAACTTGCCATAGTCCTACCTTAGCCTTCTTAGCACTGGGAAAACAGATTTAAGTTGTCCCCACCCCAACGCCTTCTCCTACACAGGTTAATTTTGAAACTCTTTGAACCAGGTTTCATGTGGATAGTAGAATCCTCAATTTCCTGGCAGCTTCCATTTCTCAGCACAGTTTAGTGTACCTTGTACATGGACAAGATCATCCACAAACAACAGCAAAAAGAATCACCTTAGCTTTGTTTACACAGTAGACCTTAGCTGGGAGCTTTAAGATGTTTGGGTTGTTCTGAGGCTGCAGGCTTGTCACTGGCAGGGGGATTTGCATGGACAAAATTAGATGGGGGGGTACCAGTCCAGGCTTTCATCTTGTGGGCATTTTTCACAAGTTAAATTGGCATTTTCCATAGTCAGTTCATTATGTATTTTTAACTTTTTTTTTTTTAAGTTTGTGACTGTAATGTTGCTGGTGACACAGAGAAGCAGTGTCATTGTCAAAACCACCCAAAAAGGAGACCACAGCACTTGTATAAGGTTACAAGTTTAGGTGCAGACCTATTCAGGAAAAGAAAATGTAGTTGCATTTCTTCCTTCTGAAAAAAATGATTATAAATAAATTGATGTTTCTATTAGGACCCCTCCCACCTGCCCTGTCTACATGAAATTTTTTATTTCTTCATACTCAATATGCTGCAGTCAGCTTCAGGAATAACGCCTGCTAGCATACAATGAGCAGGTTGTGGAAAATGCTGCTGTTCGTAGATTCCAAGAGTCTCTTCTAGTCCCTTCCAAGTCTAATTTAGTTCACTCAGTTGAGAAAGAGCTGATCCTCAAGACATCACAGTCTCTGCGAAGTGAGTGGTCAGAGCGCGTTAACCCCAGCAGACACTTGTCCTGTGGTTTCCCGTGAAGATAAATGTGCCCCCCGTCAGAGCCCACTCACTCAAAGATGACTGTCAGTCTGTTAGTTAATATCTCCAAAGCCCAGAGCTACGGCGATCCTGGCAATATGCTGCCGAGCAGTAAAAACTGTAGCAGCTGAAGCAGAGGTGTGTGGTAGGGGCAAATACAAAGCCATATCAGACTTTACTAGCGGGGGTCCCCCGTAAGGACATTTAATGAGATTTCTGCATCAAAATAAGCGAAACCATATGGAATTTTAATTATTCCTAAAACATAGTTTTAAGGGAAAATAAATACATGTTAGAACCCTTAAAAAAAAACATTAACATGCCTATCTGTGTGTGAAGTCTGTGCTTCTTCGAGGGGCAAATGTTGACGTTTTAAGTGTAACTTCTTTCCGTTTCAAATTACTCCAGTTATTCTGGCTTATTTCATGTGCTCTGGGTACTGAACTTAATGCACATGGAAGCTGCCTGCCTATATCTATTAGCCTGGCTCCTCGACTTCACCTAGATGCTGTGGGGCGAGAAGACTGCTTAGGACCACCTGTGGCCTCTGCTTGGGGTCTGTATTGTTAGCAGTAGCAGATAAACACAGGGTAGGGAGGCGGGTGCTCTCATCTGTTCCCGTTTTTGTTTCTCACACCATCACTACTTCCACCTTCTAAAACTTGAGCTCATGAGAAGCTCATTTAGGGGGAGGGGTGAGGGAGAGGCCAGTCAAGGGAGGAGGGGTTTATAAAAAGCAGACCCTAAGCGCAGACCCGGCTGCATGCATTTTCGTCTGTCATCTTGAAAGTGTTTGCTTCTGGTGTTGGAGGCAGCTCATTTGCTGGGCACCTTCTGCCCATGGGACAGTGGGTTCCGGGAAGGCACTAATGAGGGATGGGAAACCCCCCCCCCCCCCGCACCTCAAGGCCTTTGTTTCTCCTCCTGCCTTGGAATTAATGTCATAGACCAGATGTCAATGCTAGAGCTGGAAGGGAACTTAGAGTTCGTCCCCTCCTTTTCCAGATGATGACACTGCCACCTCTGACTTCTGCCTCTGGCCTTCCTCTCTCAGCAAGAAGAGCCAGGCAGGTGAGACTTCACAATTGCTGGGGGGCTGGGCTGGACTGTCTGATGGCAACTGTCTTCTGGTTTGTGAGAAAAAAAAGATTTTGTTAACCCCATGTTGCTTTCAAGCAGTCACGTTGTATGAAAAATGCTTTTCACGCACCGAACATGAAGATTCACCTCAGTGCCTGGTGAAGATGACAAACACCAACCACCCTCTGACAGGCCCTTTCTAGACTCTTATTTGAATGATCCCTTCAGTAAACATCAGACTGTCCCGGAAGGAAGGCTGGGTACAAATTAAGTTCTTTAGGAATTGCTCAGCACTTTCCCTTGCAGGTAAAACCTGTAGCAAAAGCAGATATAGGAAATCCCAGTCAGGAAACAAAGGGAAACTTAGAAGACACCACAGTCTTAGTGAGAAACATTGATGTTACAAAAGGGCTTGCCATTATTCTGTCAGTTCTAGAAAGTTACAAGGAACCCCAAGATCACAGCTGTGAGTTTTACCCATTTTGGAAAACTAGTTTCCATGTGGGAAGTCTCTAGCTGTGCTCTCAGGGGGTATCTGCTGAGAAGGCAGATGGGAAAGTTCTAGAGGGAAGCCATATCTGCTTCTGTGATGTTAAAGCCCCCAGAGCTCACTGCAGTGCAGGGGATAGGCAAAGAGCAGGGAGCCCCCCACTTCATCTCTCCTAGGCCTAAAGCTTCTGTGGGCACCTGGCCTAAATCATGTCCTATGTCACTCAGCAAGACTCTGAAATGCAGTGACTGTCAAGGTCCTCACCTCCCCCCCCATGAGCCTCACCACACCACACCCTCCCTCTCAATACCTTCTTACCTAGTTTATGACTCAAGGGAGAATTTCTGAGGGTTCAGCTCTCCCTAACACCCCCCAGAAAAGCAAGATAGTGTTAGATTACATTGACACTTGCTTTGATTTCATGTGACTAAGATGGGGATTGTAACAAGGTCTTAAATTCTTTTAAAGGTTAAAAAATAGAGTGGGGATACGTTGAGGGAATCTGTTTGAGGTACTTTTCTTAACAAAGAAGCACCATGCCCCCAAGGGGTGCAATAATAAATCTTTGGAATTGTTTACACTGAGTTAGGAAAAATCAATTGGTCTGATTTAGTAAAGTTTCACTCCAGATACGTGAAGTGCAGTAAGAAAGAAACAGAAAGAGACAGGGACAGGGAGTGGGGGTTGAGGGGTGGAGGTGCAATCAATGACAACCCAGCCTTAAAGTCTGGTGAGTGAACCTGTGACTGGAATGTTGGGTTGGCTTCCACACAGGGCTTAGGGTATGTTTGGCTTTTAAAAGCCCATTGGGATTTCCTGGGGGTGGAGAACTTAAGGAGAAATGTCATGGAGACCGTAAGGTGGGGAAAGCAAAGACAGAGGTGAGCAGTGTATTTGAAATCTGTTTGTGACTTGCTGTTCCTCGGGAGAAAGCTCAAGTTTTCTTCTCTTTGGAAAATCTTGTGAAACTTCTATCATTTTCATTGATATTTACAGATGTCTCCCCTCCCCATCTTCTGTTATGATTTTTAGGTGCTTCAGAACTGGGCCCTTTTTCAGACCCCAGGCAGTTCCCAAGTATTTCATCCCTCACTGAGAGCCGCTTCTCCAACCCACGAATGCACTACCCAGCCACCTTTACTTACACCCCGCCAGTCACGTCAGGCATGTCCCTCGGCATGTCCGCCACCACTCACTACCACACCTACCTGCCACCACCCTACCCCGGCTCTTCCCAAAGCCAGAGTGGACCCTTCCAGACCAGCAGCACTCCATATCTCTACTATGGTACTTCGTCAGCATCCTATCAGTTCCCCATGGTGCCGGGAGGGGACCGGTCTCCTTCCAGAATGCTCCCAGCATGCACCACCACCTCGAATGGCAGCACGCTATTAAATCCAAATTTGCCTAACCAGAATGATGGTGTTGACGCTGATGGAAGCCACAGCAGTTCCCCAACTGTTTTGAATTCTAGTGGCAGAATGGATGAATCTGTTTGGCGACCATATTGAAATTCCTCAGCTGTGGCCCAGTGGCATTCAGGGGCCACATCCCACACGTGTTGATATATACATATATAAAGAGAGTGCATATATATGTATATTGGTTAGCTATCTAGAAGATTTCTCACTCACTCCCTAGTCATGGTCTCGCAGCCCTAAGAGGGTAGAGACAGTCGTAACTGGGTCTCATATTGTTTACTATAAGATGTCCCTTTTACCAAGGAACAAACGGTCGAAGGTATTGTCATCTGGTCTGTTTTCATAAGTAACCTGTTCCTATGCCAATTCAGAGAAGTGGACTCCGGGTTCGGGAGGAAGAAGAGAGCCAAGCCACTTCCTCCCTGTACTTTGAAGCCACGCGCTTGGGCTGCGTGGGGCCGGTGCACTCTGCAGACCAGCTTACAAAGCCAGTTGTATGCACTCTGAAAGGGACCAGAGGGAGCATGGATGCGGCGTCCAGTGCTGCCCGTTCTGAATACCTGTCCAAAGTTTGCCTTCAGACTTGCTGCAGGTACTCATTTGAACTTTTGAGTTCACTTATTTTTTTTTTCCTATTCTAAGAAAGTGACTTCAGAAATACTGATCAGGATAGATTATTTTATTTTACTTTTTTATACTCCCTCATTTTCCCCATTTAACCAAAAACAAATCCTCCCAACCCACCCCTTCCACCTCCTCCTCCCTTTATGCAAAACTGAAAATGGCAATACCTTATTATAGCCATAATGATATAGTGTTTGAGTTGGCTGTGTGTTATTTGTTTTTCTTTTCTTTTTAAATTATGAATATGTGTAAAATCTGAGGTAACTTGCTAACGTGAATGGTCATATAACTTTAAAGATATATTTATAATTATTTAATGTCATTTGGACCTTTGGAACATTTCTTAGTGTAATGATATGTTGACTTCGGTCTCTAAAAGTGCTTTTTCTTAAGTAACAAATTTCTTCAGTGGGCTAGAGCCATATCTGAAAATATTGCTAAGCAATTTCAATTCCTTCAGGCACAATGTGATTTTTTTTAAAAATAACTTCCATCTCCAAATATTTTAGATATAGTTTGTTTTTGTGATGTATGAAGGAAATGCTATGTTTCATTCTTTCAGGTCTTTGATTGCCTCTGACACAGCTTTTTGCCTTTTTAAAGCAATAATTAGGGATTTAAAAAAACAAAAACATAAACAAAAACACCCATAGCCCTGTAGCCCTTTAACACTTAATGTGGCCCCTTTACCAGCATGAAATGCTGGGGACATGTGGTTTCCTACTTTCTTTCTTTTTGTGGGGGGGGAATGGTGGTGGCATGGTCATTATGACTCTTGTCATATTAAAAGGCCAAGCACGAGTGAGTAACTGCAGAAGAGTGTTCTGTGGTCTCAGAGTTAAGCAAAACTGTAAATCACAGGCTTCGTGGCTGAGGACCTAGTCAGTTGAAAGCCACACATGTGGTAAAGGCTTGATCACAATATACATAGTGTAGGATAGTGTGGACACACCAGGACACTGCACCTACTAGCCTTCCCACACAGTCATTCAGGGGAACCCCAAAGTGCCTTACCCAAGGAGGGACTCCAGCAGCTTCCCAAGGAGCAGAATGAAGTCACTGTCCCAGGGGAGCTGGTCAGCTGAAGTAGCAATCAGCAGCTGATGTCTGTAAACAGCCTGTGAGGACCTCTGTGAATCTTTTGATATTAGCACCTCTCACTAGGGAAGGCCATGTGCCATTGCTGTCTGCCACTTTGTGTGAATTTGAGGTCCAGCCCTCTTGGAAGATGCACTTTGATCATTCTGGGAACCTTGTGGCCATCCCTGAGTGTGACTCCTTAATCCAATCCAGGCATCTTTCAGTGACACGACCAGGCCCATCCCAGCACTTTTCCGGCACAGCTGGTGGTGGGTGGACTAGGGTGGGGGCCACCTTCATTTGAATCCTGAGTCATCCTAAGGAGAGTTCTTCAGACATTTGCCTATAGCCCCTAGACTCCCCTGTAGCTCTCTGTTTCTTCTCAGGTTGACCTTTGTCCCAGTGTGGGATGGTCTGTGGGCAGGTGGACCTGTGTGTGTCTCCAGTTTGGGTTTTCCTTAGAAGTCACCCTAACTCCTTCTGATACAAATCGAGGGGGCAAGAAAGCCCCCACCAAACCAAAACACTTTGCCTTCTAAAGGTTATATACCAAGTGTGTTCAGATAGATAAGCCACTTTGTATTTTTTTAAGATGGAAGCCTTATCTGATGCTATTTATTGTTGCGTGTGGTAGCTTGAAGCACACCACTGTCCATGTGTTTGTTTGATAACTATTTTGGCAGCACTTACAAACGCAGTGTCTGGTCACACTTTCCAGTTTTCATTAATTGTGTCAATTAATGTTACCATGGGTGCCAACTGCATCCTATTTAAGTTCTTCAAAAGGGTACTCTATTTGTACATCATTTTTTAACATTAAAGGGCTTCTTAAAAGTTTACAATACATGTATTAAGGGACTAGAGGGGATGTGTTAGTGCCCAGATGTTATTATAGTGGCTGCAGGCAGCAACCCTGAAACACTTCCCTCTGTCCTCCCTTTGAGAAAAGTTTTAAGTATTTCTCTCCACCTTTTGGCCATCTAACTGGTTGATTCCCATTACTTAGACCACATTCTTTCTCCTGGCTTTTTGGACTAGGATTTAAAATCCCCTTCCTCTTCCCTTGTCTCTTAAATGTCCCATTTGCACTGGGTCACATGTATGATTTGTGGTTACTTCTGGAACCATCTACGTGTACCAACCAACCCTCCACATTTCTCAAAGGAGCACAGACATCCCTGGGATTTACAGTATGACCGACACAGGCAGTTCTAGAAACATACTCGTCAGTTGTCCCCAAAATTGTAACCTAGGCCAGAGTTCAGAACAGGTAGCAAGGTTTTAGTTTTAGGATAGGGAATGATGTTCAGTCAGAAGCAGACACACATCACAGGTTAGCTACTGTTGGCTCTCAAAACTGTGTCTTCCTTTACCCAGAGATCCTTTGGAAATGAACAGAGAAACATCTCCACACCATTAGAGACTGACTGCTGTAGGTTCAGAAGGGAGGAGCCATGTTGGGGGTTCTTTTGTCTCCAAGGAAGGGCACTGACAGACCTAGAGACAGTGAGCCTTAGCAGAAGTAATTATAGCCACAGTACTGGAAAGAATAATAAATAAAAGATAATTCTCCAAACTTTCAATTTGTTGTTCTTAAAAAAAAGATAATGCATCTAAAACAAAGATTTTTTTCTATGTGAGAACTTTAGTTGTCTGTTAACTTCATGTTTACAAATAATTGTTTGCTTTGTAATGCAATACTTAAAATATACCAGCCAAAACTATAACTTACAGTAATTTCTTAGGTGTTCTGAATAAAATTCCATGTCTTTCGATACCATTCTTAGATTTCTGTGGAACAACAACAACAACAACAACAACAAAATTGTAGCATTTTGTGTAAATACAGCTTTTGTTTTTATTTCTTATTTTTCTGATTGCTATTGCCTAAGGTTTGCTTTCCATGCAGGTATTGTACAAATTCTGCTTTGTACCACAGGTCATGATTGTGGATGAGTTTACTCAGAACTTCAAAGGGACTATTTGTATTGTATTTTGCAACTGTAAATTGAATTATTTGGCATTTTTTCCTTCATGATTGTAATATTAATTTGAAGTTTGAATTTAATTTTCAATAAAAGGCTTTTTTTGTTTTTTTTTGTTTTGTTTTGTTATGTGTGTATCCTGGGTCTTTTCTTTTTGTGTCTGACATCTATTCCTGCCTACACCTCCCAGGATGTACCAGAGCTAGCTAAAAGCAGAGGTCTTCTATTTCTTGTGAGAGGGGGACGTCATAGTGAGCACTGTGCTCTTGTTTGTCCTGCATCTGGAGGAGTAGGCAGAAACCCTAGCCATCAACATGTCTTTAGAGCCCGAGTTTGAAGGAGGAGGTGCCCATGACATCCTGCTGTCAAGCTCCCAAATCCAGATCTGGATCAGTCCGGGTGTATAGACCTCTGAGAACAGGAATTGGACCCAGCAATTGACTACCCTTCTCTAAGCTGTAGCCATATCCCAGGCAGCCCAGATAGAGGGGGTTGTCTATTTTCCTTCCAGTATCTCTTTTTGGGGCTTCAGAAATAAAAACCAAAGTCCAGTGATGACTAAAATGGGCCTTGGACTTCAGTCTCAGAAGCGTTCTGCTAGGGAACATAGCTGTATTTTGAGGATTTTGTTTTGTTTTTTTGTGTCAGTGCTTATTTCCGGTAAGTCCTTCCCTTTCCATGAGGCTGAGTAGTTACTTGACTCATGGTCCTTCTGTTTTGACTTACCACTGTAGACACACTGGGTCACTAGCCGCATTGGCCTCTTTTATCCCAACAGGGTAGAGGCTTCCCCTAAGAGGGCTGTTCCCCAAGAAATCTTGGAAGCACATTCTTTCTAAGTCAAGGAGTCATCCTAGAAGAACATGGCTGAGCTTTGGCCAGAGAATTTGTGTATAGCTCTTTCAAGATGAATTTTTGTTTATTTAAATTAAGCATTTCTCCGGCTTTTAAAGGCACAGGGGAAGGGGCACAGAGTTGATCTCTCTTGTTTTGTCCTAAGCCATGTCACTTCACTCCGCTAACTGAGTTTCTTGCTTCATGGCTAGACCTTGACTTTGATATTCCAGGCCACACAGTTCTCTATTGCGTCCGTAACCCTGTCAGGTATTTATCAGTATCCTCATCCTCTACCTACCGGATGCCAGGAGTACCTCTCAACCCTGACCACCAAAAATACCTCTAGGCTTTACCAAGTGGGCAAGTAACTTGGGTTGGAGGCTGGAGGCTTTGCCTGAAGTCTTTTGTGGAACTGGTGTGAGGGTATAACTGAGCTGGTGGGAGGGGGTGTTGCCCACTGAACCAAGGTCACTAGCATAAGACTGGCAGGTTTCCTACCATGCGTGTGGGCCTTTATCCATCCCTTCATCTGATGGACCTCAGGGATTGGATGGAGGAGGAGAATCCCCGGCTTAAGTGCATGTCTTTTCCTCTCTCGGCCGCCTCTCAGCTGGTCTGAAGTTTGCCATGAGGCCAGCATTTCCCCTGGCTGTTCTGTTTTCTCACTGCAACATCAGGCGGAAGAGGAAAGTCGGCTCCCCAGTGCTTCTGACCCCTTGTGTCCCAAATATTTAATCATGAGACATTTCTGTGAGAGTGGGAGTTTCCTGTTAACTCAATCCCAGCCGAGACTGGCCCAATAAACACCTTAGCTCTCTGTTACAGAGTTTATTTGGCTGGGAAATGGGTATTGCCATGTAAACAGGAAGCCCCCTGAAGTTATTATCTACAGATGTGGTTGAAGAGACACATGTTTGTGTTTATGAGACTTGAAAACAGTCTGGAAAGCCAGGGAGAATGTCGAGGAGCCCTTGGTCACAGTGAGCACAGGTCTTAAAGCAATGCAGGCTCCCTCCTTGCCCTTCCCCCATTCCTTTTGAGAATGGATGATAAGTGATAAGGATATAGCCAAGAGCCACTGTGAAAATGGACTAACTCCTCTGAGTTAAGCCACCACCTTTATCTCTGTCATCAGGTTAGAGGCAGGGAATTGTGGCCTCTGTCTCAGGTCTATGAAAATCAGTTTAGAGACCATTCTAGAAAACAGTGTATTGGGAACACTGAAAAAGGGGGTGACTTAGGACCACAACATTGCAGCCTGAGTTGTTGTGCTTTCAGAGAAGGTAGAAGACTATTTTGCTGACTCCTGTGATTTCAGTGGTAACCAGCTCACCCATGCAGGGCTATGAATTCTCACATATTTGCTCCTAGAGTCAGTGCTGAAGTATGAATCTACTGTTCTTGCACTCTGGGGTGCTCACCTATGCACACTGCAATGTGTTCCCACCCACAGCTCTCCTCTTCCTTTCTGAGCTCTCTTCCTGCTTTTGGAGTTGTTTAAGAAAGGCCAGGTAGGAACAGCCATTTAAATTCTGAGCAAAGACAACAGACTCCTTCCTTGACAGCCTCCCTAGGCAGCCTGATCAGCCCTGTTGGGACTCCCTACAGTAGCTATTCAATCTGGAGACCTTGGGAATGGGAGTTTTAAAAGGTGCTCCTCAAAACTTAGACTAGGTGAAGATATAGAAAGTAATAGACCATGGAGGTGATGGTGGTGGTGGTGGTGGTGGAGGTATGTGGGTGGTGGAGGTGGTGGAGGTGGTGGAGGTGGTGCAGGCGGTGGTGTGTGTCCATGCAAGCATACCTGAAGGGAGGAAGGGAGGAGATGGAAAACCATTAAAGACATTAAAATGCACCTCTCCTGGGGATGGCAGATTTGCTCCGGTGTTTGTTATTCCTGTAGTTTCTGGGGGGGGGGGTTTAGGAGATGCACCACCACCCACAGTTCCTAATCCTTCTTCACATGGACAAGGAACAACACTTGGCTCCTGGGGTTGTCGAGGCATGTTGAGCTTGACATAGAGGAAGAGGCCATTACTAATTTTTATAAAGCTTTTTCTTCAAAAGCTTCTTATTCAGTCCAGAGAGGCTCAGCCGATCAGAAAGCTGGAAGATGCAATTCCAGCCCCTTGCTTAACCTTTACTAAGATTCCATTTTCTTATCTTGTCACAGAGACGTCTGGCCACTTAGTGCAGTGTTTCTTTCTTCCCCCCCCCTTTTTTTTTTAAACTTGTTTTATACATTGTTTAGCATTGTGAATGTTGTGCACTCCCCCCCCCCACCTGTGTGTGGGCATAGTATGCATGTGTGTTTACTTACACGTATGTGGGGAGGGTGTGAATGCATGTGGGGGCCCAAGGTTGACATAGGAAGACATCTTGAATCACTCTGCACTGTTCTGATTGAGGCAGGGTGTCTCATTCAAACCCAGAGTTCATTAAGACAGCTGTCCTGGATAGATAGCTCATCTCAGGGATCTCCTTCTTCATCTTCCCTGTCTGTACCTTCAAAAAGTGCTGGAATGACCAGCGGTCCAGCCTTCCTGTGGGTTCTGGGCATGCGAGCTCAAGTCAGTCTTCATGATTCTGAGTCAGGGACTTTATCCACTGAGCTACCGCCACTCACTCCTTCATGGCTGTATGTTCTTTGTAGCTCATTTGGTCCCAATCTTGAGCCACAGAAAGTGAAACATCCCACCTGCCATTCTCATAAAACAAAAATTAAGCAAACACAGCACACAGCAAAGAATTCTACCGGAAGACAAAGAAACAAAGGAATGCAACTTGAGTTAGGACCAGAACAAAAATACAAGCAGTTTTCAAGTGGCTTTGTGCTCTGCGACTCTTAGGAAATGTCCAGGGTACCAGAAGTGCTAGAGTTAGCCTGAGTGTGGAGAAAGAGAAGAGCAGAGTACAGGTAGAGATGGAGCTTTAGGTAAGGGTACCAAGGGCTCTCCAAGTAGAGTCTATGGTGTGAGAGATTGATGTAAGTGTGCTGATTTATTCTTTAAAGCCAGCAAAAACTAAGCCCCAGCACAGGACGAACAGTGATAGGAGTGCCAGCAAAACAGTTGAAGGCTTTAAATGCCTCTGCCACCCTCTCCTTCCTTTACACCATGTCATTGATGTTTTGGAATGCCATCTTTTCCAGTCAGTCAAGCAACCGATCAGTTTCACTGTCAGCTTCTCATTTCTCTTCTTTACTCTTCTGACTCCAAATGAGAGGTTCGTGGCTTCTACTGGTCACACCTTTAGCCTAAATTTTCCTCCGACATTTCCTATTTGAGATGGTGAAAGTCATAATGTCTTTGCCCCTTTGGCAGGTGCTGAGAAAATTGGGTGGGGATCTGTGGGAAGAGGGAATGTGTCTGAGTGTGCTCAACTTGTCCTTGGTGCATTGTCAGAGGACAAAGGCTCAGATTACCATGGAAGATAATTCTTGGTGGAACCTTCCAGAACAGAGTGTGAACTCACGTTGTATAGAGGTTGGGGGATCAACTTGCAGTTCTGGGCCATGGCAGGCAGAGAAGCCTTCAGGAGGAAGCAAGTGCTGAATCAGAGCAAGGAGTTAAGTGGTTAATAGGAACTAAGGCTTTTTATTGGCTAATAAAACCTCTCAAGGTTTTTATATTATATGATTCCTTCAGGCTCCTAGCCCAGTGCTCAAAACCAGAAAAAGACAAAAACAACAACAAAAGGCTAGAGCTTAAATACCAATGCAGCTCCAGTCTTGTTTACTTTTTCATTTCCGCAGTTGTAAAAAAAATAAAAAAAAAATAAAAAAAAAAACCTTCAGATTTATCACACTGGAGCTCAGGACCAGAGGCTCTGGCCTCCCCAGAAAGGAAAACATAAGCCCAGGCTCCCCATGTTTCAGGAGACAGAGACCCATGGACTTTAGAGAGAAAGCGTTGGTGAGGAGGGAGAGCAGACCCTGATGGGCCACATCCCTGGTCCTGAATGCAAACGATCTGTCTTTTTATTACAGGGGTACTGTTCTCCCAACAGAGCGGGATGTTCTTGTTTTTAATAATAGCCAGACCAGATGCTAACTGCTCCCCAGTGACATGCTGGATGAGTGAGAAGGCAAACAGCTGATTCCTGTCAAGAGGAACACCACGAGAATAAGCCAGAAAGTATGAGGATTCTCTGGAAGCTTTTGCTTTGTAAACCCCTGTTTGGCAGAAAGATCACAGAATCCGAACTGAAAACACAGTGTGTTCCTCTTGCACCCGTCCCTCGTTCGGCTGCTTACTGGGACCCTGGAGTCTCTTG